TGTTCATTGCTACTGGGTGTCACTGCTTGTAGACCCTATCTGTGGATAGAAGTAGGAAAATATGTAATTATACTAACCTATGGACACACACATCTATCATTATTTCTGTTTCTATCCATCTGTATACATATTAAGCTAACCATACTCATTTCTCCAACTCTAATTCATACCACAGGATTCATTCTAGCCTTCCCCTTGCTTATTAATACATATTTTTTAAATTTTATTGAGTTTTAGGTGAAAGTTTACAGTGCAAATTAGTTTCTCATTCAAAAATTTATACACAAATTGTTTTGTGACATTGGTTGCAACCCCCACAATGTGTCAGCACTCTTTTCCTTTTCCTTTATACCCCAGGTTCTCCGCGTCCAGTCGTCCAATTTTCCTGTCCCTTCCTCCCTTCTCGTCTTTGCTTTTGGGTGGGTGTTCCCCATTTGGTCTTATATACTAGATTGAACTAAGAAGTACATTCCACGTGTGTTATTGTTTGTTTTATAGGCCTGTCTAATCTTTGGCTAAAAGGTGGACTTTGGGAGTGGCTTCAGTTCTGAGTTAGTGGGGTGTCTGGGGGCCATAGTCTTGGAGGTTCCTCCAGTCACCGTCAGACCAGTAAGTCTGGTCTTTTTGTGAATTTAAATTTTGTTCTACATTTTTCTCCCACTATGCCCAGGATCTTCTATTGTGATCTGTCAGAATGTTGGTGATGATAGCTGGACACCATCTAGGCTCAGGCCGGTAGAAGCCGTGGTTCATGTGGTCCATTAGTCCTTTGAACTAATATTTTCCTTGTATCTTTTTTTCTTCATTCTCCTTTGCTCCGAATGTACTGGGAGCAATAGATGTATCTTAGATGACTTCTCGTAAGCTTTTAAGATCCCAGGCACTACTCATCAAAGCAAGATGGAGAACATTTTCTTTATGAACTATGTTATGCCAATTGACCTAGATGTCCCCCAGACCATGGTCCCCAGCCCTCAACCCCAGTAACTCAGGAAAGGGTTTCTTTTTTATTTTATAGGACTAGAAAAGAAACTAAATCATTTTTTACGATTTGCATGTTTATTCAAATTCAGTTTTGTACGTCTTGGAACTATAGGCAGTCCCTGGATTACTAATGAGCTCTGTTCCTAAGTCTGTCTTGAAGTCGAATTTGTACATTAGTTGGAACAGTTAGGTACAGTTCGTATCTAACATCAGTCAAATGCTTATCTTAGTATATAGTAGACAGTGTACCTTTCTATGCATAACCGAAAAACCAAACCTGTTGCCATCGAGTCGATTCCGACTCATAGCGACCCTATAGGACAGAGTAGAACTGCCCCTTAAGGTTTCCAAGGAGTGGCTGGTGGTTTTGAACTGCTGATCTTTTGGTTGGCAGCCGAGCTCTCAACCACTGCACCACCAGGCCTCCTTTGTATGCATAAAAAACATTAAAGAAGCACTTCTGGATACACTAAAACATCTTTAACATAATAATACAGTAATAATAATAATAATGTTTTGATAAGCATTGCAGAATAGTGCCCGTTTGTTATTACAAACCATTATGTGTACCTCAAATTTTTAATATAATAGGCTTTATGGGGTTTGCTTCTTAACTACGGGTTGTAAAAAGTCAGAAGTTTGTAAACCACAGACTGTCTGTATTTCTGGTTTCTACATCTGCACTTACTCATATTTGGATTGCAATACCAAAGATTTTTTTATTCAATCCACGTCCCGCATGTTCCAGCTTTCAGAGAAAATGAGGCTCAGAGAGATTAAATAACTTGCATAGGTAAGTCAGCTGGAAAATGGCCAGACATGGTTCAAACCCAGATATTTTCATTCATTTCTAATTAAGATCCTTGTACTTCAGGGTTTCTGAAAATTTCTTGGTCTACCACAAACTCTTTGCCACAAGAAACCTGATTTCCTCAAAGTTTCATTTGCTGCCTCTCCCTGTATTATCCCAATTATGCCATTGTCTGTGAACAGCCAAACTGTTCAAATCAAATGCAACTGATGTCCCTTTAGCCTCTGATACCCCCAAACCATCCCCCCGCCCCAGCCATAGAAGCAAAGATTCCACTTCCTTCCATGGTGGTTTGGTAGTTGGAAAGTTCCTCTAGATAAATGACCACAGCCTCCTGCTGTACAATGGACTGCGAATCGCCACAGCTGTTTGGTGTAACCGTTTATTGTGCGGCCTGGTTTGATGTGAGAGACATCTTCGGTACAAGCAAAGCTTTACACGCTCTGCACTGTGAGATTTGCGCCCTGGGTGAGGCTTGATGCCCTTGCTCTGACCTTGACTTGGCGCTCCCTTTTTGGACTGTGGTTTCTGATTCTGGGTATATTTTGCTATCTCAGAGGAGAATGAAACTAGGAGGCATAAACCCTAGTTATACAAAGTTTTGATGAACTCACCTCTCTTGGGATGAGGATGAGGGAGAGCCTTGAATGGAAAAATGGCTGCGCATCTCAAACAGGTCTGAAGTTAGAGACTGCTCACCCAGAAAGCCTTGAGAGTTTGGTTAACTGTTGCCCCCACTTTGACAGTGTTGAGTTTGGGCTCCCCCTGTTGGAACCTTTGGAAAATAATTCTTGGAACTACAGAAAAATTAAGACTAGAGGGGGGTACAAAAGAAAACATTTATTGAGAGCTTGCTACACGTATGTATTAGGCATTTTATTTAGGCGTCTCGTTTGATCCTCAAAGTCATTCTGCAGGTTGTTATTGTTTGCAGTCAGGTCGATTCCGACTTACAGCGACCCCATGTGTGCAGAGTAGAACTGCTCTGGGTTTTCAAGCCTGTAACCTTTCAGAAACAGGTCTCTGTGCTTGTCTTCCGAGGTACCTCTGGGTGGGTTCGAACCACCAAACTTTCAGCTAGCAGTTGAGCTCATAACTGTTTGTGCCACCCAGGGACACCTTCCTACATGTAGGTTTTATTAATCTTATTTTGCAAAGAGGGAAACTGAAAATTGCCCAGAGTTACATAAGGGTTTGAATCCACAGCTTCCCTGACTCCTCAAAGCCCATACATACTTTGTCCAGTACTCTGAGCTGAGGGAGCCAGAAGGAAATGGGGAGTGAGATTTCCCCCCCACTTCAGATTCCTTGGGATTTATAACTGATTTTGTCAAGACATCTTGGTGTCGGCGACGCTTGGGTATTCCCCCAAAGCAGTAGCGTGTTGGCACCAGCTCAGACTGGCTAGTGAGAGCGGTTGTTAAACAGGAATTTTGCAAGCTGGTTGTTACACAATTGTAACTGGAAATAGGTCATAGTGGGAGTATTTACTCCACGGAAGTTGGTGAACACTATAAATGAACACTATAAATCAGGGCTTCCCCCTCGCCCCCGCCATGCTGGTTTACCAGCAAGCACACTGCTGTTCTTACTCTCCTCTGATGTTTCAAATACCCCTAACAGAGAGCTGGCCCTGAGCCCTAGAGTGAGAGCTGAAGACAAGGCCCGCCCCAATGGTCATAAAGTTTCCACTGCAGACGAGGAAGGATAGGCATATCGGTTGGAAAATGAGGAAGTGAAAGAGACAAGAGGCTGCAAGATATTGTTATTCACATGTGAACAGAATACCCATGTTTCTAATCACAGAGATTTTGGGGGAGGGCTTGTAGCAAGTCATCAGAGTCCTTTTCTTTCAGAGTGATGGAAAGAGAGGTCCAACTCATGCAGAAACTAGCAAAGTGTCCTCAATATTCTTCTGTGGAAGGAAAGATGATTTTGCATTGCTCTGGAGCCTCTAGATCTTGGGGTGGGAAGCAGTTTGTGGACCATATTCCTGACCCTGAGACTACACTTGGGATCCTTCTGCCTGCCAGGTGGTGATCTTCCTCTGGCAGGGCCTCTAGGTTACCCAGGGCTACAGGGTCTGTGAAGAGCCAAGCAACTCTAAGTACCAGGGGAATAAATCTCCAGAGCTGACTCCTGGGTAGTCTGGGTCATATCTATTTGAGGACTGAAGTCAAGGGCCTTCCTAGCTAGTTTAGATGCTGCAAAGAAACAGCCACCTCCCATCATAAAATAGAAGACACATCCTTTGTGGTGGGCAGTGCGAGGGAGCATTTCTAGGGTGAGAAGAAGCTAGACTCCCAGCCCTGACGTGTTCCCAGTGGTTTCCCTGTCCCTGGCCTCTTTCTGCTTATTAACAACCACAGCTGAGGCCACTGCCACTGCAGAGACACCAAATAATCAAATCAGACTTCCCTAAAGGCCTAAGGAGTCTTGGTGGTGCACTGGTTAAGTGCTTGGATGCTAACCGAAAGCTCGGCGGTTTGAACCCACCAGCCACTTCGCTGGAGAAAGATGTGAAGATGTGGCAGTCTGCTTCCTTAAAGATTACAGCGTTAGAAACCCTATGGGGCAGTTCTACTCTGTGCTATAGGGTCGCTGTGAGTTGGAATTGACTCGACAGCAACCGGTTTCCCTAAAGGCCTAAGCCACCACCCATCTGTCAGTTTGTCTACTGTGTTAGCTTGCTTGTTGCTTTGATACTAGAAGCTATGCTACCGATATTTCAAATATTAGCAGGGTCGCCCATGGTAGACAGTTTTCAGTGGAGCTTCTAGACTTAGACAAACTAGGAAGAAAAGCCTGGTGATCTACTTCGGAAAATCAGCCAATGAAGACCCTATGGATCATAACAGAATATTGTCCCATATAATGCTGGAAGATGAGCTCCCTAGGTTGGAGGGCACTCAAACTACACAGTGGCTGCAACAATGGACTCCAGCACCCCAATGATGGTGAAGATAACACAGGACTGGGTAATGTTTTGTTCTGTTGCACATGGGGTGTCCATGAGTCGGAGCTGACCTGAAGGCAACTAACAATACCAACAAAGGCCTAAGGCTGGGAAAAGAGAAAGCAAAGAATTGAGCAACAGGTAACAGATAATCTGACTCACATGACACAGCTGATTTATCTTCAGCCCATGCGTAATTGCAAGGGTTGCTCCTCCCTTGCTCCTGGCTTGCTGCCTCTATCTGTGGAGACTCCCTGATGTCTGACTGGAGAAGACGGAGAGACAGAGAAGTTCTCCGCTTGCCTGCTCAAGGCTTCCTTTCTGTGCTCCTGGTCCCTGTCTGAGGACCCACCTCACCCATGCCTGTCTGATGCCAGAATGCCCATCTGCTTATTCCTTATCCTGCAAAGCAACTGTCTCCAGGCAACCGAATAACTTACATACCGTGAGTGATGGAGCAGGGGTGTTGTCCTTTCATTCCAGGCGTTGTTGACTCTCTCGAGGTTCAACCTAGGACGAGAGATTGTGACCAAAGGGACACCTGAGTTGGATGGGTAGGCACAGGAAAAACCTGTGAGACTGACATGACACTTAGGGTTAATTAGCCCCTTCTGCAGGGTAGGCTTGCACCTGCTGGGACAGCTCCCAGGCTGAGGCAGGCCCAGGCTGGCAAGGTGTACACAGGAAGGTGTGTATGGTAGGAGGAAGGCTGACACTCAGAGGTTGCAGTATCTGCTGAGGAGAGGTTAGCACCCTGGGGCATAGAAACTCACAGTCAGCTAAATAGTGCCTGGTCACCCGCCCTGCATTGCCTTCCCTAATCTTTGAGAGAGCCTGCTCCTACCTCTTAGTGAGCTGCTGCCTTTGTTAACAACCACTCATTCAACAAATATTTACTGTTTCTATTAGGTGCCAGGTGCTACACAAGACGCTGGCTATGGCAGAGAAGAGGACAGCCCATTTTACCCCCATGGAGGTCACGGACAATGGGAAGAAAGCTATTGAACAAGTCATCAAAGGTTGTTGGGTGTTCTGAAGGAAAAATGCAGGGTGTATAATGAGGTACCTAATTTCGTCTGGGGTGACAAGGAAAGCCTAGTGAGGAAGGTATCATTTAAGACAATACCTGAGGAATTATACCAGTATACCATTGACATGGAGTCAATGCTGACTCATGGTGATCCCATGTGGCAGAGTAGAACTACACTCCATAGGATTTTCAGTGACTGATTTTTTGAAAGCAGATTGCCAGGCCTTTCTTCTCAGGAAAAGGAATTAGCAGGAGTGAAAATAGAAGCTCTATGAGGGCAGGGACCGTTTCTAACTTGTTCACTAGCACCAGTGTCTGGCATGGAGTAGGCACCAGTAAGTTTAGCTTCAAAGGATGACGGAAACTAGCTGAGTAAATGGGTTGTGTGTATACGTGTGTGCGTGTGTGCATGTGTGCGTGCGTGCGTGCGTGCGTGTGGTGTAGTTAACCTCCCTTTAGCTCAGCATGGTTAACAGCTTTTGTTAAACTGCTGGTGCTCTGTCTAACTAATAGTAGAGATTATTATGAGAGTAATATTAATGATATGCATACTCTCATGGATTGAATTGTGTCACCCCAAAATATGTGTCAACTTGGCCAGGCAATGATTCCCAGTATTGTGTGATTGTCCACCATTTTGTCATCTGATGTGATATTTTTATGTGCTGTAAATCCTACCTCTATGATGCTAATGAGGCAGGATTAGAGGCAGTTATGCTTATGAAGCAGGACTCAATCTACAGTGTTAGGTTGTGTCTTAAGTTAATCTCTTCGGAGATAGAAAAGAGAGAAGCGAGCAGAGAGACAGGGGGAGCTCATATCACCAAGAAAGCAGTGCTGGGAGCAGAGTGCGTCCTTTGGACCCAGGGTTCCTGAGCTGAGAAGCTCCTAGGCCAGGGGAAGATTTATGACAAGGACTTTCCTCAGAGCCAACAGGGAGAGAAAGGCTTCCCCTGGAGCTGGCACCCTGAATTCGGACTTCTAGCCTCCCAGACTGTGAGAGAATTAATTTCTCTATGTTAAAGCCATCTACTTGTGATATTTCTGTTATAGCAGCACTAGATAACTAAAACACACACCATTAGAGTCAGCTTATCAGTAGACTAAGACTTGACATAGAACCCTGATTTTGTCTTTTCCTAGTTATGGGCACTCAAATGTGTTACCCACCTTTCCTGTGCCTCTGTTTTCCGTAAAGTCTATTTCACAGCATTGTGAAGATAAAAGGAATGTATAAATTGTATAGAACGTTATAGTCAGTACTTGGAAGCTATTACTGTCCACCAAGCTCATATCCATAAAGGACTTTGATGGCTGTAAGAAAAGTAATAAATATGAAAAATCTGAATATCATTAAATAAGAGCTTAAAAATATATCAAATAGGAAGGGAGAGGAGACTGTATATGCAGTCTAGGTAAAATCTATGCAGAGAAAGGCCTTGGAAAGTGAATCAGACCCTTTCCTGTAGGGAAGGAGGCTCTATGCTTGGTATACTGGCTGCTTTTACCCCCAAGACAGTCTTGTTCCAGGAACTTCATAAATGCTCAACCTTCGATATCCGTTTGTATCAAGTTTTAGATGAGGGATACTGAAATGGCAAGGGTTGATATGTATTCACCCATTGGTCACGCTTGCAGGAAGAGCAGACCCTTGCTTGACTTGTCCAAAAGGCTCTGGAGATTTTTGTAAATCGCCAGATTGGATGATACATGAATACTTATCCAAGTTTTCTGGGCCTTTCTCAAGTATGTTTACACTGAGAGTCTGGGGCTTCCTGTTTGTGCTCTCTTACCACACGTTAACCGCTGTGCCTACTTTCACTTAAGTTTTGTATCTTACTCTGTTAGAAATTTTTTGAGCTGACAGGAAACGTTTCCTGTAATGACTTCTCAAACCTGTTTTTCAATATCTGAGTTTACTGTGGGTTAATAGAGCTAAACTACCATCAAGTCCAGAGTCCCTGGGCAGTGCATATGGTTAACATGCTGGCTAACTGAAAGGTTGCAGTTCAAGTACCCCCAGAGGCTCCTCAGAAGAAAGACCTGGCAATCTACTTCTGAAAAAGCAGCTACGAAAACCCTATGTATCACAGTTGTATTCTGACACATATGGGGTCGCCCTGAGTTGGAATTGATTCGATGGCAACCGGCTAATGAATAATGGATTAGTTAATGATCATCAATGGCTGATAACATTACCAAAAGAGAGATAAACAGACATTATGCACTTCCTGTTGGAAATTCACAACATCCCCTGGGAAAAAATCCTGCCAAAAAAAACACCGAACCTTAGTCTGATCAGGCTTCTAGAGCAAATGACCAATTTACAAGAAATTCAGTGGATAGAGGAATGTGTTATGTAACACTTCAGGGGATATAATCGGCAAAATCCAGACTGTGGTAAGCTCTACAGGACAAACAACCCAGTTTCTTCAACAAATATATTGTAAGGGGTGGGGGGAAGAATGGGAGCAACTTTATTCATAATTGTCAAAAATCAGAAGCAACCAAGATATCCTTTAATAGGTGAATGAATAAACAAACTGCGGCACATCCATACAATGAAGTATTATTCAGTGATAAAAAGGAATGAGCTGTTAAGCCATGAAAAGACATAGAGGAACCTTAAATGCACATTGCTAAGTGAAATAAGCCAGCCTGGAAAAGCTACATACTGTACGATCCCAACTACATGACATTCTGGAATAAAACTCGTTGCCATCAATCGATTCCGACTCATAGAGACCCTATAGGACAGAGTGGTACTGCCCCATAGGGTTTCTAAAGAGCGCCTGGTGGATTCTAACTGCCCACTGTTTGGTTAGCAGCCATAGCTCTTAAGTACTCACTATGCCGCCAGGGTTTCCAAGACAAAGCTATAGAGATGTCAAAAATATCAGTTGGTTGCTGGGGTTCAGGGGGGAGGGGGGGCATAAAAAGCTGGAGCACAGGGCATTTTAGGGCAGGGAAACTATTCTGCATATTACTGCAATGGTGGATACATGACATTAGGCATTTGTGAAAATCTGTTAAACTGTACAATACAAAGCAAAGAGTGAAACCTAATGTAAATTATGGACTTTAGTTAACAATGTGTCAATATTAGTTCATCAATTGTAACAAATATACCACATGAATGCTAGAGGTTAATAATAGGAGAAACTGTGCTAAGGGGAGAGAGAATATGTGGGAACTCTGTACTTCATGCACAATTTTCCTGTAAACCTAAAACTACTCTAAAAATTAAAATGTATTTCTTCAGAAAAGAAGAGTGGGAGACAGAATCCACACATTAAAAGAAGAACAAGAAAAATATCAACTAATATGATGAACAGACATATACACACACACACACACACACATATACATATACAGTTGGCCCTCCATATCTGTGGATACAGTTGCATCCACGTATTCAACCAACTGCATACCGAAAATATTTGGAAAAAAAAGTTCCAAAAAGCTAAACTTCAATTTGCCTTGCGCCGAGCATTAACTACTATTTACATAACATTTACATTGTATTAGATACTATAAGTAATTCAGAGATGATTTAAAGCATATGGGAGGATGTGCGTAGGTTATATGCAAATACTACGCCATTTTATAAGAGGGACTTGAGCATCTGCAGATTTTGGCATCCGCGGGGGTCCTGGAATCAATTCACATATATTTGTGTCCTGAAATCAATTCATGTATGTATATGTATATATATATGAGTGACATTTGGGGGAATATTAAAAATACCTGAAGCTTCTAGAATCCAGATGTGTTCCCTTTGGCCTGAACTCAAGAATTGCTGCTGTGGTAGGTAAAGACCATTTAGGAGGCCAGAACCACAGGAATGAGACCATCTTCCTCCACATGGCTCTTTACTTGTCAGGGGAAGAGTGAATAACAAGGCCACCTCTCCACTCTTTCCCATCCTCCCACTAAGGACAGGACCCAGAGGATAGAGCATTCAACAACCCAGAAAGAGGCAGGCAGGAAAGTCTTATGGTGGTTCTCATTCGGGCTCTCACCTATCTGGAGCACAGATTTTGGCATCATTTGGGATGTCCCCAACTGAACAAGTTATGCTTATGTGAAATGAATTGATGTTCTCCCTGATCCCAGCTGGACCTTTGATTTGAAAAAGAAGGTGGTTGGGATGCTCCACCAAATACCACCACCACTGACTGGGATAACTAAACTATGCAATACGGGGCTCCATTTTGAAAAAGGTAAACACTCTCCCCAGGACCTGAATGCTCTTAAGTCAGGAAACAAAAAAAAAACCAAACCCGTTGGCATCAAGTTGATACCAACTCATAGTGACCCTATAGGACGGAGTAGAACTGCTCCATAGGGTTTCCAAGGAGTGCCTAGTGAGTTCAAACTGCCGACCTTTTGGTTAGCAGCCAAACTCTTAACCACTATGCCACCAGGGTTTCCCTTAAGTCTGAAAACCTGGAAATTAGCTATTACTCCCATCTACTAAAGAAGCCCTGGTGGCATAATGGTTAAGCGCTCTGCTGCTAACCAAAATATCTGTGGTTTGAACTAACCAGCGGTTCCATGGGAGAAAGATGTGGCACTCCATTCCTGTAAAGATTACAGCCTAGGAAACCCTCTGGGGCAATTCTACTGTGTCCTATAGGGTTGCTATGAGTTGGAATCAACTCGATGGCACACAATAACAACAACAACCCTCCAACTATAGTTGCTCAAATCACTTAACCTTTCTTAGGCTCAGTTGCTTCTGCAAAAAGGGATAATAATGTCTTATCTACCCTAAGACCAAGTGTCAGATTAAATGATCTCTTGAGATCCCTTACTTCTCTGTACTCTTTAACCTTATTAGATATGATATGGAAAGGACATTTGTTATTTTAGGAGATAAAGGAAGAACTTCAGATAAGCAGGAGGACCCAAGGAAGGGCAAGAAACAGGCGAGTCAGGAAGTGTTGTTGGACACATGAAGCCAAGGGGGCTGAAGATAGCAGGCAG